GCTGCGCTCCCAACTCATAGAGCGGCAATCCTGTCCCCTTGTCCCTCCGCAGTGCCACCCCAGCGGCTGCATCACCGACCTCTTCATCCAGATGGCCACCATCACTATCCTCAAGCAGACCCTCAGCAATTTCGTGGAGTACCTGGTCCCGTAAGCCTTTCCCCGGCCCACGGGGAGCTCCGGGTGCTCCTGCGCACAGCCCTTGGCCTCAGAGTTTCCTCTCCCCTCGCTGTGGTCCCAAGGGCTGTCCTGGGCAGCAGCTGGGCCCTGCTTAGCCAACGTTCGGATCCTCCACCCATGCACTCCCTCCCTTTGCAGATGGATAACCCACATATGCAAGAAGCAGAAGCTTCCCAAGAAGAAAAACACCATCCTGGGGGAGGAGGAGGAGGCTGAGGACCCCTGCAAACAGTGGTGGCTCAGCAACTACCAGCTCAACGAAGTCCACCCCTTCAGCTTGTTTGACGAGTTCCTGGAGATGGGTACGTGGGGCAGGGGAGGAGGGACAGCCAGGCCCCCAGTGCGAGGGGAGCCCCGGGGGATGGAGCGGCGCGGATATCCGTCCCTACGCACGAGTCCTGCCAGCCCTGGCAGAGGGACAAGCGAGCTTTGGGACCAGCCCTGCTCCAAGAGCTGTCACAGCGGGCACCACGAGGCACGGCCAGGCCAGGCCAGGTCACCGCGGGCTGCCTGCCCTGCGCTGCCTCCACGACGGGCATTTTCTCCTCGCACAGTGATCCAGTACAGCTACACCACCATTTTCATTGCCGCCTTCCCACTTGCCCCGGTGCTGGCTTTCATCAACAACCTGGTCGAGATCCGCCTGGATGCCATCAAGATGGTTCACTTCCGGCGGCGCATGGTGCCCAGGAAGGCCAACGACATTGGTGAGACGGGCCCTGGGAGCGCTCCCCACCGCGGGACACTCTGGCACCAAGTGGCCTCCCCAGCGCGGGCTCTCGAGGCTCCCATTGCCAGGGCTTGGCAGTACTTCGCCGTGGAGGGAAGAGCCATGCACTGGGGAAGGAGAAGCTATTTCTGTCCCCGAGAGGCAGCGGGACAGCTGGAAGCTCTCCCTCCTTGTCCCAGTCCTCTTTGGCCAAGACAAACTTCTCCCCGAGTGAGCGCAGTGGCACAGGGACGGTGGCAGGGAGCCTCACTGACCACTCTTCTCTCGCAGGAATCTGGCTGCAGGTCCTGGAAGCCATCGGCATCCTGGCTGTCATCGGCAACGGACTGGTGATCGCCATCACATCCGACTTCATTCCCATGCAGGTCTACAAGTACACGCACAGCCCCTGCGCGACGGGCAACAGCACTGCCCTGGAGTGAGTGCCACCACCCCGCTGCTCCCGCCCTGCCGGGGCCCTCCCCGCAGCATCCTGCCCTGCCGCCCGCAGGGAGGCCGAGGCTCTGAGCAGCATCCTGTGCCAGAGTACAGGAAACAGGGGGAAAAGCGGAGTTTTCCAGGTGGTTTACTCCTAGTCTGAGAACGCACACGCGAGGGAAAGCTTAAAAGCAGCAGCTGCAGGAGAACGAGCCTTGTAGCAAGCAGCCTGGGGCCCTTCTCTCCATCCGCGGGAGATGCAGCAGTGACAGCTTTTAGCCAGGGCATCCCACACTCGCAGCGTGGCACTGAACCAGGACCCCCGCTCGCCAGCGGGCGGATGGGCCTGGAAATGCCCTTTCTCCCTTCACAGCTGCCTAAGCGGCTACATCAACCACAGCCTCTCCACCTTCCGCACGCGGGACTTTGAGCCACACATGCGACTGCCTGCGCAGCTGCCGGACTTTGCGAGACAGGGAGTCACGGAGTGCAGGTAGGAGCAGCTCTGAGCCACTGCCCCCCGGCCCCGCGCCGTGGCGTCCCCCCGCACGCCGCAGCCGGGCTGCAGAGGAGGGCTGGGAGGAAGGAGGCGACCGCCAAGGAAGCCGCAGCTCCCCCAGGCCCCGTGGAGCCTGGCTGGGGGCGCTGACGGGGCTGCTCTGCAGGTACCGAGAGTACAGGAACGCCGACGACTACAGCTACACCGCCCAGTTCTGGCACGTGTTCGCAGCCCGCCTTGCCTTCCTAATCCTCTTCGAGGTGAGCGTGACAGGAGCTGCCAGAGGCCAGCGGGAGGGAGGAGGAAGAGGAGGCTCCGGGGAGCTCCCGCCCTTGGCTGGGAGGCGCTGGACACGCAACCCTTGCTCGTCTCTCCCGGCACCAGCTCTCACTGCCTGTGGTGGTTCCGTGTCCTTTTTTCAGCATGTGGCTCTGTGCGTCAAATTCATTGCGGCCTGGTATGTCCCCGATGTCCCCCAGTCGGTTAAGAACCATATTCTGGATGAAAAATACACCAAGCTGCAAAAAGAACTGAGGTGGGTGATACCTGAGAAGGTCCCAGGGGCCACTGTCCTCAGGGGTGCCACTGTCTCCGGCAGGAGGAGGAGACCTGACTAGCTGGAGAATCAGGTCTCTCCCAGGCCCCCTGACCACTGCACAACTCTAACAGTCATTTTAGGACAAGCTGCTTTACCACTAAATGAGGGTCCATTTCTCTCCACCACCATCAGTATGATTGGCTAGTTCACTGAGTCCCACATGAGTTAATAAATAAATAAATAAATAAATAAATAAAAGAACAATTTTGTTCAAATTTTCCTTTTACGGATTTTCGATTTTTGCTGAAAAAAAAAAAAAAACTATTGAGAAAACCAAAGGCTGGGCCCTTCTA